TAGTGCCGAAATTATTGGATGAACAAGGTATGCAACGGCATCAAGTGTTAAGCGCGAAGAGCGATATGCATATTGATGTATGGCGTCTTCCTCAGATTCAGTGATAGCTCACGGTAACAAGCATCTCTCAAATAAAATAAGCATGACTGACGTGCAGGCGATAGGACGATACTTCCCAGGTTCCTTTTTAGGAACGGGAGTTATCTTGGCTATTTTCCGATTGTCAGGGATTTTTCCGCTTATCAGTCATTGAATATTTTTGACAATAGGGCTGAAAGGGTTTCCGCACATACCTTGAGTACTACGGGTGATAGTTCATCCGGGCCCGATGCTTTGTTCAACATAGTTTTCAGTAGCTGTTTTAGGACTTTGGCGGGTTTGATAGTTGGTGTCGGCATAGAGCTGACTATGTCTGGCAGGGCAGTGCACTGTGAAACTGGACTAAACTCCGAATTTAGTCTTTCGACGTCGACAGTCTCCTTTTTGTGTTTATTGCTACTGCCACACAATCGGTTGATAGCCCCCCACATGCCACGACAACTAGAGTTTCCCAGGATAGTGTTGATGTACAGTTTATTCGTCCGATTTATTTCATCTTTGATCGAAATTGCTAGCCGCTTGACATGGATTCTTTGTCCTTGTTTATAGGCTTGTTCTTTCCGCCTGCGTAGCTGCTTGAGTAGCGGTGATAAATATCTGTTTTTATGGATAAAGACCGTTTCTAGTGGGCAACGTTGGTTAAAAAAGAAATTAAGGTAGTCCGTAACATGTTCATAGAGTACAGAAAGGTTCTGATCGGGAAACACCGAAAAATCTGTGGTGGCAATCATGGATCTTTTAAGATACAATGATTTGAACGGCTCAGACAAGCACGTTGATGGACTTCAAAAAATTGCGGTCTGTTTGTTAAAACGAAATCAAGTTGTGAATTGAGTCTGGTAAGAGAATGTACCAAATTTTGTAGACTCAGTGTGGCGAGGAATGTTACATCATGTCTGTTGAAATCACCAACACATATACACAAAGAGTCACTTGTTTTTGATATTATGGAGGTAGAAAAAATGTCAGAAAAGCTATTTACGTCAGCCACTGATATTGTTGGTGACAGGTAAAAGATTCCAAGAAGGATGGAATGAAACCCGCTCAAAACAAACGGGGCTTACATTCGATGACGTGACAAGTGATTTTATCTGATACAAGTTATATTCATCCACTTGTACAATTTCACTAGGGGTTTATTCGTGCAACCACGATTCCTGAAGCATGATAATTCCCAGGTTTTTGTACTCCTTTTTCCGTGTGATGTCTA